CTCTTTCCCTCTTTTTTTCTGTACACAGTTAAAACACTCAGCAAACCTTTTCTCTTTCAGGCACAGCGCACCAGAGTGTGTGCCAGTGTGCTTGTCTAAGCAGATAACAGATTTGGTGCTCTGAACCATAGCCACTGCCAAAATCTGTCACAGTGCACACCAACTCCAAAGGTCTGGTTAAATCTCTGTAATGAATGATCTCCTCAGAGTCAGCATGTGTAACAAATATTAGTATTTCTATTGTTGTTAATTGCATTGTGAAAGTAAGCACTTTGACCCATGCAGACTGATTGAGATGGAACCAGGTTCTGTAGTTAACAGGGGTTTGCACTGTAACGTGAAGAGGAATGCTAACACAGAGTGGGGTTAAAAGGTATCTTGCACAGTCTGTGAAATCCTAACCCATAAATATTCATAGTAGGGCAAAACTCCCTGGAGACAGGCTTGCCTGAGTTCGGACTTAATCCAATTCACAGTTTCTTAACGTCGCTCCCAGCTTTCCTTGCTCTGTGAGCCCGTGCTTTGAAAAGGTTTCTGAACACAATAGATTGCCACAACAGCAATAACAGGCTCCAGTCCCTTAATGAAACACCAAGGTTCCCCTTTTCCCACTTTCACTTATGTCTAGAAATAGAAAAGGCCCACCCGACAGAGCCTTTGAGCTACAATAAAGTAGGAAGAAGTCACCTTTCCTTCTGCTAATCCTCGCTGCACTGCTTGTCACTCAGTGCTGGGAAGGGAAGTCAAACGTCGTGAGACTTCATCTCCCTGAAACACAGAGGAGTTCATTAAAGGCAAACCTTTCAACTTGGCATTTTTCTCTCTCCCTGCACTGTAATGGGATATTTCATTGATCCTGACACAGATGGTTCTAAATATCATTGCAGTCATTAAACTTCAGAAGCTCTGTATTTAACACAGAACTTGAAATACCACTTTGTGTTGCACCATTTAGTCAAGATGTGGGGCTGACATATATAGGTGATCCCTTTCCATATCATTTTACCATGAAATATTTTGCTGAAAAGTCAAAATAGTATGCTTTATATACCTTAATGTGGGTAGACTATAACAAATCTTTCACTGGGGTTATTTGGCACCCTGTAAATTTCCTTCAAACCAAAGAAGGAACTAGAACATGTTGCAGTGTAGTACAGTAACTAGAGCCATGCACTGGCTTCTTAAATTGTGTGTAACCACAGGGAGCCATAGAGCTAATGTATGATTTCCAGAAAACAAAAATTCTGTTTACAAACTGTCTGAATGCCCAAGAGTTTTTACTGAAGTATTGCTCAGAATTAGTTGGGCTAGGAGAGTTTAAAAAAAAAAGTTTATTTGTTGGATCAAAGGCAAACTTGCATTGGAGAACAATTTTAAAAAATACATCACAACACGTAAGAGTGGTGACGCTGTTAACATTTAGATGAAGTGAAATGCCCTGTTAGTATGCAGTTTGTTTCGAGATGTGTGTGTTTAATTCATGAGATAAGAAAAGCTTTTTTTCCTGAGCTCTTCAGCAGATAGCCCGTGGAGCAGAGGTCATCACTTTCCCTGTCTGCGCGAAGCGCAAGGTAATTCAGTCAGCAGAGACACAGGGTTTTCACTGCTTCTACCTGCAGTCTTCCAGCTGATGTTGTAATTGGTTCTGTGACCCGTTGTTTGAAGGCTTGTTTCGCTGCTCTGGTATCTGCTGCTTTGGCACCAGCCCTGCAGTCTTACAAGAAATAAATGACATGAAGAAAGACTAGAGAAGATGTGTGAAGAGGATTTAGAATGATCTTTTTTCTTCACGAAGATTTAGTATGTTCGTCAGGAAGATGGTTGCTGCAGCACAGAATGATTATTATTAGGCTGGAAAAAAGTTCCTGTTACTTGTTTTCCCATTCACATTACTGAATTTAATACATTTTGGTTTAAATATACAGTGGTGTGAAAAAGCGTGCCTGCAGTTCTTTGGATGTTGTTGTGAGTTTTTTTGTGACCTCTTGGATGAGTCATTGCAGCGCTCTTGGGGTAATTTTGGTCGGCCGGCCACTCCTGGGAAGGTTCACCACTGTTCCATGTTTTCGCCATTTGTGGATAATGGCTCTCACTGTGGTTCGCTGGAGTCCCAAAGCTTTAGAAATGGCTTTATAACATTTTCCAGACTGATAAATCTCAATTACTCTGTTTCTCATTTCTTCCTGAATTTGTCTTCTTCACTTTTGATCTTTTGGTCTACTTCACTTTGTCAGGCAGGTCCTATTTTAAGTGATTTCTTGATTGAGAACAGGTGTGGCAGTAATCAGGCCTGGGTGTGGCTAGAGAAATTGAACTCAGCTTTCCAAAGATGTGATAAACCACAGTTGATTTATGTTTTAACAGGGGGGGGCAATCACTTTTTCACACAGGGCCATGTAGGTTTGGATTTTTTTTTCCCTTAATAAAACCTTCATTTAAAAACTGCATTTTGTGTTTACGTGTGTTATCTTTGTCTAATATTTCAATTTGTTTGATGATCTGAAACATTTCAGTGTGACAAACATGCAAAAAATAAGAAATCAGGAAGAGGGCAAACACTTTTTCACACCACTGTAATTATGATGTATTCAATTAAAAAACGATTAAACAGTTCAAAAGCTATGTCATGGTAGTGTGGTAGTAGTGCAAATGTCAGAGTGCAGTAGTATAAACTTGATGTTTAATTGAATTCTTTAGTGGGCATCGCAGCTTAGTGGAAATGCACATTTTCTTAAAGCACCAGATATCCCTGGCTCTACACCTTCCAAGAAGCTAGAGTTCACACAGTTTTGGAGTATGTGTCTTTCCGTGTGAATGCAGTCGATTTGTGGTTTTGTTTATGAGTCATGTCCATTCTGCATTTGTCCAAAAGGACTTCATTTGCTGTTTTATTTTCTCTGAAATGTTTATGTTTGCTGTGTGTGCAGACAATACTACCTCGTCTCACCCCGATTCTCAGACATTTAATCATTTAATGTAAACTGCAGTAAAACACTCAATTTTGAAGGATTTTTCTGACCAGGACAGCGGTTTGTTGGGGTTATACTGATGAATATATTTGGGAACCCCAGCAGACCTGGGGTAATTGCTGTAATTCTTTTGGCACTCCTGTTCCAAGAGGGTATTGGGTTGGCACATTCAGTGTACTCAGCTCTATGGGAGTGATCCCTCTGATGCTGATTAGTTAGTATACATTTTGCTTTCAGGCAACAAAGTGATTAACAAGGTGGGTGAGTCAACAGCACTTGAGATCACTGGTGTATGAGATGGAAGCAGAGGTTCACAGCAGGCTGTGGATTGCCATCACCTACAGCTTAATCACACTCTTTAAGATTCCCTCACTGATTAATGGCTCCGCCATCACCAGGTCCCAGCCCCTGATATGGACCCTACCCCAGTGTATAAATTGTCCTAAAAGAGCTGAAAAGCGGCAGAGAATCAGAACTGTGTGTGGCAAATGCCTAATCTCTGCAGGGCACTGATTTGAGTGTTAATTGAAAGTAAGTGGAGTTCTTGCTTTTTGAGCTGGAAACTTCACAGGTATTCTCCCCCCCAGCTTGACTTCGCCTGTGAGACAGGGCACAGTGTCTGTCTGGGTAAAATTATGTTTAAGCTATACTCATTTTCCAAAGTTTCAAAGTAAAATTTAATTTTGTAGAATTTTGCTCTGTAACTGAAGATCAAGAAGAGAACGTGTCTGTAAATTTTCCTAGCATGTGGGGGCAGTACAGTACCTGCTGGGTTAGACTTCCTAGGCCTTGTTTTGTTCTGTATGCTAAAGTTTTTCTGGCAGGTTTTTGGAGGAATGCTAGAGGATTTTTCAAAATATATTACTATGCCTGCTCATAACATTTTAAAGCTCCAATCATTGAAAAACTAAAAGATAAAATTTAAAATGTACGAGCGTAAGAGGTTTGAGACCATTAACAGTAATAAGAGTGAAATCAAGCAGTCACTAAAATAAAGTGACTTTTAGCATAGATGAGTCAATAAAACTAACATAAGAATCCAATTGCCTGAATTACACGTTAAGACACATGGCTGCCTTACAGCTGTTGGTGTTTGGCATAGTCATAATAAGGAACAAGTAATAGTTTTATTCCATGCTGAAAAGAGAAGAAAGAAAACAACGTTTCAGCCGTGGAGCCTTCTCACCTGAACATAGTCATAATAAATCCAGTGTTTCTTTAGATCTGAGAAACACATTTACATCCCTGCCTCTCCAATTATAATTCATTTCCTAAACAGTGAAAGCCTATAGTATTATGTTCCAAGAACAGGTGATGACTCTTCACATTTCCTGTCAGTTTTGTGCTCACAGATTACGGTTCTGAGATATTTGAGCACACAAACACAAAGCAGATCCAAATCAGCTACAGCAGAACATGCATGAACAGCATTGGCGCTAATTACAGGTAATATTCCCTCAGACAACAGCTGCTCTGCCAAGACTGGGCTGAACTTTTTTGTTAGTTTAACAACATTGCATAATTATAATTTACAAGTGGCAATGACAAAAATACCCTTTCTTTCAGCTGATTACATGGCATGCAAGATATTAACTCTTTTTTAAAGACTTTCTGTAAATCGGAGTGATGACTTTAGCAGTGTGATCTTTGAAAGTCAGCCTGTCCTTTAACAGTGTCAGTGCAGAAGCTAGAATCTAGTGGTGGATTTCTCTGTGTAGCTGCGTAAAAGAGCTACTCTCACCTGTCTGAAATTGCTGGCTGGGTATGAAGAAGCCAGTTGTTTGCACTGGAATGGAGATCAGTTTCCTTTCAATTATTTTTTAGGGGATAAAATAGATGTTTATGGGATTTAAAAAACTTTTTTGCAAAACTGAAAAAGGGTTTTCTTCCATTTCTCGATTATGAAAAAAGTATAAAAGCAATGTATAATAAAATAAACACTTTTAAATCTGAATTTTATTTTAAACTTTTGTATCTAATTAAGTTCAGGTAAAATTCCTAAACTAAGTATTTAAGTGAAAAATCCATTGGCATCTCCGCTACATTTATATTCAAGTTTTTGATTTACTGTCATAAGATTGGGAGCAAATTCGGACAAAATAGAGAAAATTCCCATTTATATGATGGGTCCCATTGATGCGCGTTTCCTTTTACATCTTTCTGTTTCTCTTTCTGCCCTTCAGGGGGGTTAGGGTTTGGGGGTGACGGTGCTATGCTTGAAGCGCTTTAAAAAGAATCCGCCGTGTCTCTGCTCATGTCCGAGGTGTGCCTTAGAGAGCCCTCCAGCCTGCCGGCGGCCCGGAGCTACCGAGCGCAGTTTATTTGAGCGCCACACCACCCCCTGCTGGAGCTTGGAGAGCTGCGCAGGAGGAGGTGTCAGAAGTCTGGGAAACTGGTTTGAAGAGAAAGGCTTCCACGGCAAACTCTTCCTGCTCGCCATGCAGTATCTGAGCTCTCGGGACACCTTTTAGAGCTGTTGTCATCCCCGCTGCTCCCTTCATTCCGACGATCACAACTGGTTGTCGACTGGTTTCGGCCAGTTTAGTTTTTTTCTCTTGTGCAGGCACATCAACAGCAGGCGCTGGGGGTTTTGCCTTTTCTCCAGCTGTGTCAGTGGGGGAGAATCGGCCCCCTAATTACCTGGGAGTTTCCCCCTCGACGTCGCGCAGACAAGCGATAGGGAGAAGGATCCGGCGGCTCGGCCTCACAGCCCGTCATCTCTGACGCCGCCCTCGGCAGCGGCTGGTGTCTGAAGGCGCTGCTCATCGCTTTCAGCTGAACCTCGCATGGTAGTGTTTGCGTGCAGTTAATCCTGTGTACCTAGCCTAGGGTGCGCTCGGCGCTGTTCAGTTTGGTTAACGGTTGCTGGCCCTAAAGTCACCATTACTTAAGTACAGTTGGACCCGCAGTGCAGTACGTGCTCTTTCATGGCTCTTATATGACTCTTGAGAGTAGAATAGGTTTTTTTTAGATGTATAATGGCGTCTTGTAACAGATGAGTTCTGCTGGTGTTCCTTTCTCTGCGCCAAGGGTTTCGTCAGCACGGCCAGGTCGTGGAGCGAGAGCTCAGGGGGCGCCAGTCCTGCCTCTCGACACCGGCCGGGCTGCACGTTAGGCTTTGGTGAATGCTGTCCGAAAGGAAGTTTCTAGGTGTCCCGTTGCAGATGAGCCCCGATATTAGGTTGTTTGGGGGTCCTTGTTCATTTTTGTCCTAAAAGTATTTCTCTTTTCGACAAATCAACTCTCATGCAAAATTAAACCTTTATTTTCGCTAGGCAATCCCAATTAAGGCGTGACACATTTCTAATAGATAAATTTACATTGAACTGACATTTTCTGTTTTTCCAATCAATATCTCCTGCCTCATTTATTGAATTTTCCATCTACTTCTCTTCTTTTACCTCCTGATTTGCAAAGCAGCTCCGCTGCCATCGACACACTCCCGTTCCGGAGATCATGTCCGGGGCTCATTAGTGATAAGGCTCGTTAAGAGTCTGCTAATCACGGGTTTGCGGTTTCGACCTCCTCGCCTCTGTGAGCCCCCCTCCCCGCTTTCATTATTTTCATCCCTGTTAATTGCGCAGTGTGCACTGAAAGCAGAGGCAGTACAGGACCCTACCGGGCGAGGGCTGTGTGCGGACGCGCAGGCAGTGGCGAGCAAAGCAAACGACGGACGCCGAGTCTTTCTCAAGCGCCTCTCGAGTCTCTCCGGCACGGCTGTGCGTGCCCAGGCCCTGACACATGTACAGATGAGCATCGCTGCTAATTGCTTTAACACCTGGCCCTCCCCGTCCCCTCCTCCGCCCTGCTCGCTCGCCGCCGTCCCCTTCGCTGTCAGACCGACACTGACATGTGTCTAGCAGCGCGCAGAAACCCGTCCCAGCCCACTTGCCCCCCTGCAGCGGCCGGCTTTCTGTGCTTCAGTGTGTGTGTGCATGTCGGCGAGCGTGTGTGCGCACACTGGTATTAGCTAAAAAGGATCCTCCTCATCTCGTCCTGCCTACTGTAGCTCAGTCTGCGGAGCGGAGAGCAGGACGGACTTCAGCGATCTAGGAATCCAGACCGGGAGATTTCTCTAGTGTTACATTGGCGTTGCTGGGGGATTTAAGCCGAGGGGAGTCGAGATTCTTGGGCACCTTGCTCTCGGGACAATGTTTCTTGTGCAGTACGCAGGTATGGTACAACATTATTGCTACGGTTTAATAAATGTTTTTTTTTATTCCGTTTGCTGATTTACAATTTATTCTATAAAATTGTTTGCTGTATCCCCGTAGTATCAGCATGTTATATTAAAATGCCGCTATTTTATACGATTTAAGCATTGTGACTTCGAGAAGGCAGAATGTTAGCGAGAGAGGAATCATTCACCGGACTTTCTGCAGTTAACGAAATAAATGTCCCCCCCCCCCCCCCCCCCCCCCCCCCCCCCCCCCCAGTTTACCCTGTGGACTAAGTGAAGACTTTAAAATAGTTTAAATTCCATCTTTATCTTCATCATCACGGAGGGGGTCTGTCATTTCCTCCTTGATAGAGCGCGACTTTAAAACTGTAGGAGAGTTTTTGTTTTTAAGTCAGTGTTTCCTACATGAGCATTGTGAACAAATGGATAATATACGTTCGTGCTGTTTTTAAGTTGCCGGTGGTGTGGTCGGGGCGTGTGTTATGTGCTTTAGATGGCTCAAACATCATCTGCGCTGAAGTTGGGATTTGAGATTGTCACACAGGCAACTGAGTTTCAAATGCTCGATTGTGACTCCGTGGGATATGGCACTAGTTAGTAAGCAGTTAATTCCCAGAGCTAATCTGTCATTTCTGCTCTTATAAAAAAAAAGTGAACAGTCGGCACTGTGTGCACATGCGGAGCCTTTATGTTCTGTTTGTGCTCCAGTATTCAGAACGCAGCCGCACTCTCTCAGCAATCACAGAAAGACGATACATGCTAGCCGTGGTTATATGGTGATGTTATGAAGCGTTTATCTAAAGGGTACGATATGCGGTGCACAGCCTTCACTCTATATAGACAGAGCTGAGGTTATGTCTAGAGACAATGCGATCCCGACGCCCAGCATGTCCTCCCGGCTCTGCGATCCAGATTCTTGCCGCTGGACCACTTTCACAGTCGCCTGTACTGCCTGCCAGCTGGAGATCTCTACCTCGTCATGGAGCCTCTGCTGCTTATCGATTAGCATATCAAACACAGCTGGATCGAGTCACTCTTCTCCGTGTTAACCGGAGTTGAGGGAATGGAACCAAACTTACTTTTTGTTTTTGCATTTTGAACTTTCCCTTATATTGCCAGCTTTGAACCTGGTGTTCTGTGTGAGTGGGTGCTGGAGGGTGCCGTGCCACCCGCCGGGATGAAAGAGCACATTGACGCTGATTGCCTTGCACAGCTGCACAACTTGCAGTTTGGTACCATTTATAGAGGAAGCATTCAGAGACATTTCACAAGCTCCCCCCATTGTGTCTGCTGTGTCCTATATTAGAATTGATTAAAGTAACTGAAAACACAATCTATTTTGACATCATGTCAATGAAAGCTGCTTTTTAAGCATAAAAACATAGAAAATGGGCTGATTAGAAATATCATTGAGCATTCTAGATCCTCTCCCAATGCTCCTGGTTGGGTGTATACTGATTGACACAAAGTTATTCTCCAATGGTGTACTCTGATACTGGACTCATTTACTGAAATAAACAGGAGGTAGTGTAGGATTAATAGTTATCAGTGTCCATGAGACTGCAGCCTAATATATATTATTGTGTACATTCAATTTTTTAAAATGTATTTCTTTATCATTTATGTCTCTGGCTTGCTTTTGATAGCATTTTAGTATGTCAACTAGTATGTTACTTTTGTTTTTGCTTCTGTTACAGTTGTGCTGCATAAATTCCAGGTCTGTGTCCGGCCCCCTCTAATTGTTATCTGCTGTGGCTGTGATGACAGAAAATTAAATTAAAATGTCAATAAATCTTCAAACTGTGAGGTGTAGCTGAATATTGATAGGAAGTGACAGTGGACAGCAACAATCTCACGTCATCTCTATGACTTTATTTTATAAACCTAACTCCCAAAATAGCATCTAACTTTGTTATAGATATAGTACCACTTGCAACAGGCTCTACTGTATCTGTTGTACAGCCTTGAAGCAGAGAGCTGATTGAAGCGTGAAGAAAATATCTGAAAGAATGTTCCAGGTGAAAATAAATGAGAATATGATATAAAAAAAAAGACTTGTCAACAGCTGAGAAGCTATGTAGGTCATCAGAGTGAAGAGGGCCCGTGCCTTGTTCTGCTCTGGAGCAGAGGATGCGACTTCTGCTGGCAGGGAGGGTGGACTTGTCCTTGTCTGCTGAGACAGGCAGGGCCAGTCCTCCTTCAGAGCAGGTTCAAACAGCCATGTGACAGACCTTTCCGGCTCTCTGCTCTTCACATGGCCACAGGCAACACTTGTCGGTATCTGTCCAAGTGAATCAGGTCTGACTGTTTACCCCGTACCTAGGAACCGTGATGGATAAAAGCCCATCTGGGAATATGACAGCCATTTACTTCCATCTTGTAGTGCTCTCTGTTGATCGATTGCTTAGATGACTTTAAAAAAATCTACAGTGTGTGTGTGTGTGCTGGCTCAAGTAAGAGACCGAGACCGAGACTGCGACAGAGACACAGGGAGCCTGTGTGGTAAGGATGCTCTTTGCTCAAAGGCCAGAATGTTGCAGAAGCTGTTGGAGTATATTCTGAAAGTGAACTGAATCATCAGTGAAAACTGTGGAGTCTGGGGACTGGGTTTTGTAATCGGTGGACCCTGACCTCTGGGTGGGGAGCTGTGACTGTTCAGGGAGAGAGTATCAAAACTAAGCTGTGGGTCAAGAACCGTGACGGTAAAAACATCCATTAATACGACTGTAGCCAGTGATCAATATCCTGCCCTGGAAAGTGGACTTCCTTGGGAATTGTGAATGTGTAGGGGTGGGGGTATTGCTGAAAGGGAGGGATTCGTATCATTTGTAACTTGATTAGGGATTACTAAGAACAAGCCAAAAGGCAAGGCTCAGAAAATGGGTTACCCACTGCAGCTGCGTTAATCACAGATATACCTTGTGTTGCCATGGATACCGCACTTTTGCCCTGTCTGATCTCAGCCAGCTGTGTGGTCATTAGCCAGTTTCGTTGCTGGGGTGAGACAGGAAGGGTGCCGAGCGAGAGAGTAGGGATAAATGCTGCTCTGTCTTCAGAGAAGAGTGTTTACTAAATGCAGTTTTCCCCAAGTTTGAGCTGAGATGGCTTATTCAGTCATGTAGAGTCCATTACCGGAGACAGCAGCAACCTCACCAGCCTGTGTTCTCTGATGCAGCCTGCTTCGGTGAACGGGAGTTACAAGTCCTGAAGTCCTGGTCTGGAAGGAATTTTGTTTTATTTTTTTGTAGCATTAGTTAATTTTAACCCCCCAGTCCTATCCCATTCCTACCCAAGCTTCTAACTTTGCCTGTGATCATTTAGGGGTATTCCATTCTCTTCTGAGTATCTTTAAGGATATCGTAGACCCGTTTTAGTCTATTATTTTGTGACATTCTCCTTAAAAGTCACTCGTGTGCTCTCTCAATTGATCTTGCAAACGAAATCTTCTCAGTTTTATGTCTTTTTGTATAAGAAGGCATGGTGATTTGTTGGTATCAGTAGTGTGCTCTAATTTTCAATTTCCCCTTTTGCTTCTCAACAGACTTCTAAATAATTGATGTGGGGCTTGTTAGAGGTCCTTGGACTGATTCTTGATGTTGCATTCAACAGGAGCGTTATCTCTGCTCTGACTGGAGCTTTGCAACAGATGTTGAAAATAGAAGAATCCCTGAAGTCTGTAGCTTTTTAACGCCAACATCAAAGACATCCGCTCTTCCCTCTAAAGACTTTAACGTAGATTTTAGCTTGGTTTCTCCATTAGTCTAATTGCATTTTGTGCGCGTAAAACCCTCATAAAACCGAGTACGGTCCTAAAACATGTTCTTACTGTGAAAATGTTAAATTTCAAGTGGAGAGTGTAAAAAACATTGTTTCATTCTTGTATAGAAGACCATAGAGCTTTGCAAATATAGTTAACAGTATCATACTAATATTAAATTCACTATTTTCTAATGGGACAAAATAGGAAGAGATTGAATGTATTATAGTAGTGAGTTGTCCTACTTTGGGCTTTTTCTGCCAGGCACCATGAATAGACCCATAGTTCTAACATGTTTCTTTTTTAAAGTTCATGTCAGGATTTTTCTTCCTTTAGAACCACAAGAAATGTGTATTATCCTACATTCTACAGCACAAACCTCATTTGAATGCAGTACAGTTTTTGAAAAAACAGAATGGATTTGATGTTTCTGATGGAAGCGCTTGTCTTCACAATGTATTGTAGTAATTGAGTTGCTAGTATTTGTGTTGATTTGTGCATCTCATACATGCTAGAGAGTCCCTGGCTGCAGTAGCCCCTCATGGCTTGCTAATTGAAAGCAATGGTTTTTTAGCCTGAAAAGCCATGCGACTGATAATTGGTATTGCAATAGATAGCATGGTGTCTCTGTTAATGAGAAGCTGTATTGCTTTGTGCCTTCCTGTAAAAATATTTTTTCAGTTTTTTAATCAAAATATAGACCCTTGTGTTTGCTAGAAAAATTATTGTCATTACTGTGCTGGGGGAATAGTTTACCATGCATATTGTTAAGCTATGCATTCATGAATCCTATCCACACACCATTGACCTATATGTTTAAAACTCAAAACACATAATATTTTTTTTTGCTAAATTTACTGCCCGTTTTTACTGAATGTTTAACTCAATAAATGTATAACAAACATCCCTGAATTACCCATTAAATGTCTGTTTATTTTTCTGTGATTTTGTTTCGCCTATTTCTAAAATAGCCTGCTGTGTGTCATTGGTTAAGAAGTTGGGATTGAAAAGTAATGAGTGAGCTTGTGCCCCTCACGGTGCCTCAGTTTCTTCAGCCCTTCTCACCCTTGGCAGCACGCGAGCAGAGCCCCTGCCCAGAGACAGGTGTGGATGGCTCTGGGGCTGATGGGAAGGGGCATCATGCTGTCCGGATCCTCTTATCAGGAGGCTTGGTGGCCCACGGTGCACAGTGCCAAAAAGAATCTACAACAGTATGGGTAAACACTTCTCCCACTA